CCTACTATATATATATATATATATATATATATAGTCCAATTACATGATTATATTTTTACAAACGATAAAATTCAATCGAAAAAGCTCTAAGGATTGTCGAATAGTATAGAATATTTTTCTTACTCCCCTTCCTACAAACACACTAGTAAGGCGCCCACGTCGGTACATCTAAGCGGAAATAACATAGTAATTAATGTGTGAAAAAGAAGAAAAACTTGTATTAAGAAACACGAAAAAAACGGAAGGTAAACAGGGTGGTAATAGCAACGACTCGTGCTCTTAGAATGTGCATTAAAGCTGTATTTATGAGTTGGATAATTTAACCGCTAGAGGGCTGCTTGAATTAGCTATTGCCTTGAGATTTGATTAGGATGGTGCTAGAACTCTCAGTTATAGTATTTAAACTGTGATGAGCATGGTTGTAGATCGTCGTTCAATACTGCTGACGTCAGCCTTATTCCCAAAGGCATTTCGTTGTTTTTGTTAATCCATGTTTGTACTCCGTACTGTATTTTCACACCAGGAGATTCGTCGCAGGACGTACCTTCCTGCTGTGATAAACACATGTGACTTTATACATATATATATACAACTTTTAATCTGTCGTTGCTCTAAAAATTTAACGTTGTGTAGTTTTGATGAAAGAGACAGCGTGTGTAAGTGCACATGTGAATAAACATTTCATGTTATGAAAATCGGATATAAATCATACCATCTTATTTTGGTTTATTGTACTTCAACAGTTTTAAACAGACCCCCCCCCCCCTGTGTCCTTCCCTCAGTATACATATTTACATTCTTTAAATATCAAAATTTCGAAACTGACGTATTTATATAAGAGACGGTGTTTGTAATTAGCTGAGTTTGTATTGAAGTGATGACATATGTTTGCTCAGTTCTCTTTTTTACAGGGTTAGTCAAAAGTTCCGTTTGTTTTCCATTTTTGTGAAATTTGTGTAGAATATTAAATCTGTTGAAATGGAGTGTTTAGGCATGGTGTCCATTTGTTACTTGACATGGTGTCATGATAAAAAAAGTAAAATCAAGATTATCGAAATGAAGTACACAAAATTGTAAAACTTTTTTATTGTAATCAAACAGCTTTTTTTTTTGAAGATGTACTTTTCTTGCAAACAAATTTATCTTGTTTAAGACTGGTTATCTTACTAGGTAGTTATGTATTTGTTTTTCGTTTATGTTGATACACTGCAGTTGTAATCAAACATTTGGCATTATTCCCAAGTGAATTGAATGAAATGACAGGTCAGTAGGAACATCAAATAGTTTTGTATTCAATTTAGGATTAACCAGCACTTCATATTAGTGACATTTGCCCTATTATTTCAAATTACTGTTTTGGATTACTTGCCCTATTGTTTAACTAGTCATCAAAAACACTAATCATAATTTGTCATGGCCTACACTAATCTCATCATCATATTAGAGTACTTTCTTGGAACAATGTATATTGTGTGAACAAAGTTTTCAGTATTTCTAGTCATACATGGATCAACTGTATCGGATTTAAGGTTACCCAGCAGTAGGTAGTTAACTATCCAGTGGTTCTGTTTTCGTCAGTGCTTCAAACACAAATCATTGTTTTAATATGCAGTTTTATACCATCAATTTCTTGGAAGTACCTCATTAAAAATATAAGTGAGTGGAGAAATTAACAGAAAAAAATAACAATACATTTATGATGATGGTACTATAATTTCTCTTTCTCTAGGTTTCACGGGTCTTCTGTCAGATCTTCATTTGATAAAACAACTTATATCACCATCTCTCTCTCTCTCTCTCTCTAGGTTTCACGGGTCTTCTTTCAGATCTTCATTTGATAAAACAACTTATATCACCATCTCTTTCTCTAGGTTTCACGGTCTTCTGTCAGATCTTCATTTGATAAAACAACTTATATCACCATCTCTCTCTCTCTCTCTCTCTCTAGATTTTATGGGTCTTCTGTCAGATCTTCATTTGATAAAACAACTTGTATCACCATCTCTCTCTCTCTAGATTTTACAGGGTCTTCTGTCAGATCTTCATTTGATAAAACAACTTGTATCACCATCTCTCTCTCTAGGTTTCACGGGTCTTCTGTCAGATCTTCATTTGATAAAACAACTTATATCACCATTATATATTTATTTATACATATGCTTATTATACATTTTTCTTCAGCTTAAAGTTGTTATTTTCAAATAGATTACTTAGAGCACAGAGCAAAAAATGTAATTGTCATTCATTTTTGAATCATTAATACAATAACTCTTTGTTCTGTATAGAGAAAACAGAGAGGTTTGACCACCAGATTGAGCTCATCGTGCCCTATTCTAACTCCAGAAGTGGCTTTAACAGGTACTAATTATAATCTGACACTTTTAATATTTGATAGCCTAGAGTCTAAAATTTCTTTTACACTCTCAACTATTAGCCATGTATATTACATTTATTAAATTTATTCTTAATTAAATATTGCTAAAAATTAAAATGATTATAAAAACTAAACTATTCTTTACAAACAGTATTTATTTTGTATGTTTTACTCATTTTAAAAATGGAAGTTATCCATGGTGGGGTTCTTTGGTCTTCAAATGCTTTAGCAACCTCCAGCAAGGGTGATCGATAATTTTGTTGATTTTAGCCAAAGTGCATCAAATTAAATTTTGCATTAGTTTGTACAAACACTTATAAGGCTTACTTGAGTTTATGAAATCACTTGTGTTGGTTATTAAGCAAATAATGGCAGTTAAACAGTACCAGAATTTACAAATTTATTAGTTTTCTAAATTTAATAGCCAAATGTCAATATCTGTTCTTTCTGTTTGATTTAATATTTTTAATGATTTAAATATTTTTAATTTAATATTTAATAATTATCTTCAAAAACTAAAGTAATTACAAAAATAAGTAAACACTAGGTGTCACTCACTTATTCTTTTTAAAAAAACAAGGGATTAATGAAGAGCCAACCCAACATGGAAGAAGGTTAGGCTTTATCACCATGACTAGTTATAGTCTACCTCAGAAAACCTACCTTGCCAATGATCAACGTTATACTAAATCATTAACAGAAGCAACTAACGTCAAGATCCAAGTCAATGATGTCACTCCTTCTAACTCTCAAGAATTTCTGAACTTTGTTAGTACTGCTGAAGGTAGGATTCGGTCAGTGAAAGCCCATAGTAACACGCCATCTTCTAGAAGACAGATTGGGGGTACTTCATCACAGAGGTGTGCACAAAAGTCAGGAAAGAAAGAGTTACCACGACGAAAAAGTTGGTCAGCCATGTATGAAGAAGAGATGGGTGATGGGAGTGAAGTTCTGAGAAGGTATGTGTATGAAAATGTTCGTCATTTTTGTGCAAAAGGACAATTAATAAATGTCACAATCATATTTCGAACATAATTTTGTTTAGTGGGTATTTCTTAAGTATTCTAATTTAAATTAACAAAATATTGCTATGTAAAATAATAATAATAATAATAAAACAGTATCATATTGCATGAATTAATAACATTTTAATTGACCTTCATATTTTGGTAACTTTGATTTGCCATAAACTGATTTATGTAAATTTTAGCAAAGAGTAGATTTTTGTGTAAGTAATGGTACTGTGTGTTTAGAGTACTGAAATGATAGTGTACAGTTGATTTTCATATAAGTAATGGTACTGTGTGTTTATAGTATTGAAGTGATAACTAAAGTTGATTTTCATATAAGTAATGGTACTGTGTGTTTATAGTACTGAAATGATAACTAAAGTTGATTTTCATATAAGTAATGGTACTGGTGTTTAAAGTACTGAAATGATAGTGTAAGGTTGATTTTCATATAAGTAATAATACTGTGTGTTTATAGTACTGAAATGATAACATAAAGTTGATTTTCATATAAGTAATGGTACTGTGTGTTTATAGTACTTACGTGATAGTGTAAGGTTGATTTTTGCATAAGTTATAGTGTGACACGTTTAGGTACATTTTATGATTTTTACACATCTAGTGCAAGATTAATTAAAAACTTGTAGATTCTTCTGTAGTGTTATAAATTTCATAAATACAACAATTGTTTAAATTTAGAATGTGAAATACTTGTAAGAAAAAAAAAAATATTTCAAGAAGTTATTTGCCTCTATTTAAAAATTTCCTTGCTTGTATAGTGTGAAATTTTATCCAAAGCTAAAAATATGTAGAAATAGGAGAAATATGATTTTTTTTCCTTGTTATTTTATTAATGCTAGCATGAGTTTGAGTAGCTTAAATTCGGACACAGAAGAAGCATTTTATGATGCTATGGATGGAACTTCATTCTCCGTTGGAAGGTCCACAAAAGAGCACAATGAAGGACAACCCTTAAATCATGGAGGATGTAGTTACGAGAAGCAACGCAGTTTTTCAGGTTAGCAAAGAAGGATTTTACAAAGGCACATTGATAGAAAGGCATACATAAATTTCATATTTCAGAAAATCAGTGTACATTATCTAATTTCATATTGTATTTCACTAAAGATACTCTTTCTCAATTTCTGAACAGAAACTATTTAGCAAGTGGAAAGTTTTAAGAAGATAATAACAGCTTTGTTGTTGAGTTGTATTTATTGGAGCCATTGAAGTATATTTCTTAGTAAAGCATCAAAAATTAGATATATTTTGTTTTTGTAGTATTGAATGCTGGTATAAATCTATTAAATAAACATATTTGTTTCAAATCATAAGGAAAACCAATTCTCTTAGTTATTATTTTTTAAAGTTTGCAGTACTGACTGAAGAATGGAAACTGTATTCAAGGAAGACGACAAACGTTTTTTTTATTCTTTTTGGTTACTATAATTTATAATCATTTTGTTACTTGTGTCACTCAAAGACCCTTGAGAAATTCATAAATCAAAACATCGAATAGAATAAAAAACATTTATATGAAGTTGTTTGCTGTCTTATTTCTCTGCTAAGTTGTAGCTTATGCTTTGACATAAAACATTTGCATTGCTATGTATCTTATATGCACTTGTTGGCTCAAGTTCAACAGACTATATTGCAAGTTCTTACATGTACTTTGTGTAGTATTTCTAAAGTGTTTTGTTTCTAATTATATGTTTGTTATTGTTTTGTATATTTTGAAAGAATTAGTTTGTGCCACAGGCATCATGCATGCATTGTAATTTAATGTTATAAGGAATAACCTGTTTATTTTAACCAAATAAGCCTTACTGTAAACTTAGCAGTAATCACTCTTAAAAATTTCACTGGATCTGCTTTTGGTTGTTTTTGTGAAACCTTATAAAAGCTAGTTTAGTATGCTATATATAGAAAATATAAACATCTCTTGAAAAAGAAAAATCATAACCATGTATGATATGCATGCAAATTATAACATTTGTGTAAGAACTGATTATAAATGTGGAATGTTTCAAAGTTTGCTATTGCTGAAATGTACACTTTGCTTGTGAAATGCATTCAGTTATGTGGTGTTTGTTATTATCCTTTGGTAAAATTTGCTATTCCTTTCACAATTTTAATTGCTAATGCAGTGAGTACATTTGAAAAATAACCTGCTGTTTATTTTTCTTTGTTTCCAGCTGGAAGTGAAGAAATGACTCATCTATCTCTTTCTAGTCAAGGCACCAGGTCATCAGGTCATAGTATGTCCAACATTGCAGAATGTGCCAAGGTAAAAACAGTATAGAGATCTTTAGTTCTATATTGAAATTGCCTAGCTTATATAAAAGAAAAAATTTTTAATTTCAAATATTTATTTTAAATTGGCTCCTCATAATATTTATTATTTTTTTTTTTAATGCAATAACAACAAACTTTTAGTACTGGTTATGACTGCACCAAAATGTATGTTAATTTTATTTGCTTTTTCCTTATTGGAACAGCCACTATAAGATAGTTGCCATTGAGTATAATAATTTCCTAATAAATCTTAACTTTTGATTAAGTCATATTGGCCTAAACTAGGGGTCTCCAAACTTTTTTGGACAAGGGCTGGGAGGTAGATCTTTTTAGGCTTCACGGGCTTGAGGGGGTCGTGGTAAAATTAAGTAGGGATGCATACATGATCAGATTGGCTTTCACTCAATTACGTTTTATTTTTATTTTATTTTTTTAATATTAAAAAATTATATTATTACTTTAATAAACTGTTGGCAGGTAGGACGTGGCCCGTGGGCTGTAGTTTGGAGACCCTTGGCCTAAAATATCATTATGGGTTTTATTTTTCTTTTGTATTGATTTATAACATTAAGGACTTTTAGTAAGTTTATAATAACTTAACAAACATTTTAATACTTTAGGCATCTTTACACTGGCCTTAAACTGGATTTGATAAGGCAATAATAACTTTAAACATAATTAAAGGTAAATCATATGTGAATCATGTTGCTGAATACTGAAATAGTTTATTTTTTTAAATTAAAAAAGTTAATACGAGACCAAACATTAAATTTTAAGCTTCCACAGCTATCAAGAAGGTTTCTATCCATCTTGTATGTTGCCTACTGTTTTGTTTAATAACATTGATCTGTCAAACTGTATTACTATTAAGCTATTTATGTTTCTTTCATATACACTTATATTAGCACTGTGAAGAAAGCAAAGGCTTAGACAGCAGTGATCCTAGATGTCAGACCTCCACCTGTCTTTTGGAACCATGGTCTCCTCTGCAAAAGTCTGTTTCTACCCCTTCCATTTTTGCAGCCCAACAAACAGCAGAGGGTATGGCCAAATTAATTTATGGGTCTCTAAGACCAATTGTTGCAACTTATCTTTGCAGAACTTATTTAGCAAAGTTTTGAAGCAGTTAATTTGTAACAAGCTAATTAGTTAGTTGTAAAGATATGAATTTTCAAGTAACAATTTGATTCTGTAGTAGAATTTCTGATTTTAAGAAGGAAGGAGATAATGGCTTCACAAAAATCATGAAATTACCTTATTAAACTGTTTATTTCTTAACATGCCTTGTTAAAACCTGTATTACTTCATGGGAAACTTGAAAATACATAGGCATTGCAAAAGTTACAGTTTAAAGGCCTAAATTTGGAGAAGCAATAGTATCCAATAGGCCTAAATTTGTGTTCTAGATGGTTTTGCAAATTTCAATATCAATATGAGCAACATAAATGTTTTAAACTTAATTAAGATACAATTACTGAATGAGGACTGAAATAAGTCTTAAATTACAACTATTTACTGAAAATATTAATATCAAAGTTTGTGTGATTACATTTTAACTCTGACAAGCACTTTATCATCTAAGTTATAACAATAATGAAAGAGCTAGAATTTTAAAATACCATATTTACTTTTGATTTGCTGAAATTTTGGTTCTATATTCTTCCTCTAGGGTTTGAAGAAATAGCAGAAGCTGGAGATGGGTAAGCATTAGTATATACACGAATATGGCTATGGCTGCTTTTGAAGTTTCTTTTTTTATTGGTTTTTAGTTGTTTCATATAGTTCTGCAGTATGATTTTTGATGTAATATTTTATTGTGCACTCAGTTATGCAGTACATTTTAAATATTTTACTACATATTAATTTCTATATTTATATGTAAAAAGAACTCTCATAATACATGTAAATTCAACACAAAAACTCTGATTATACACTTTGTTTGTGTTTACATTTATGTCTGTGTGGTGGTGTATCTATATGTATTCTTTTTATATTTTGTAACTGTAAACTTGGAATGTGTAAAAATAATGCATTTTTGTCATGGGGCTTTGTCCAAATGCTTTCTTTTGTTTTGTAATGAAGCAAAGCTGCTGTGTTGTTTAATTATTAGCAACCCATGCTTGTCTGTGTTGTTTTTGTAGTTTATTTAATTTCAATCCACTCGACATGTGTGACCTGGACGATGAGCTTAGTGTTGGTATGTTGCCTGAAGATGAAGAATCTAGTTTTCCTTTGGCCCAAGTGTCATTAGCTGATTTGTTGAGAAGCTATCAGTAAGTGTGTTCAGTTTCAACTTGCTATATTTTGAGTTACTTTCATCTCGCTACCAGTTTTACAGCATGGCTCTAGTAAAGATGAAATCCATGGCTGATTCACAAGTTAGGTAGTTAGACCTAGTGAACTTTATCACACAGAAACAACCATTTTTGCTACCGAACAAATAATGTATTCAAATTGTTTAAAAAGTATTATCCTATAGTCCATGAGCAGTGATGTTAATTTCATATAACTTGAATATTACAATGCACTTATACAACTAGAAACAAAGCATAATAAATTCCATCACCCCATTCTCGATATAATTTTAGAAACCAGAATTACTTGACTGGTCAGGATAGTGACGATGATAAACCATTTGGAAAAAGGAAGAAGAGAGGGAGTCTTTTCTTCAGAAAAAGAAAGGTAAAAGTCTTTAGCAACATATTAGACTTAAAATGAAATGTTTTACAAACTTTGATATGATACTATTTAAAAAAGTATCTTTGTATTAGTACCAACATCATGGTTTACTTGTCTCTTTTTCTAGAATGTAACGCATTCAAAATGTACTATGTGAAGCACAGATTGTTGTTATTATTATACAATTATGATAATTTGTATAATCCTTAAATTACTGATTTTAGTTAATATTGTTCATGATCAGTAAGATGCTCTATATCGAGTAATCTTATGTTTTTTTCCCTATTACATCATTCATTCTAAGAATTGGCTCAATAATCTTGGTGAAATCACTCATTTTCTATGAAAAAATATGAAGGGAACTTCTACTGTAAATAGTGTGGTTAACTGCAATGTTGATGATATTTTTTTGTTTACAATTTTTTTCTGTGACTCCAATGTTTTCAGGAACCCTAAAACCAACAAAGTCACGAATCCACACACAATTTGGTGCATATTAAAATAGTTTAGAAAATGTGTTTCAGATGTAAGTGGGCCCAATATACCTGTCAGCATTTCTTGTTCTTTTAATGGTAGTAGTGGAATTCTAATGTTTTCACTGTTAATAAAATATTATGGTCAGTATGTTTCATTTTCAGATACTGTAACTTTTCTTCTTTTTTTTCTTATAAACGTTCCATTAGTGATGGTTAATAATAAAATTATTGTCACTTATTGTTTATTGTCACTTATAGCTCTCAAACACATGCATGTAGGTGATGTTAAAGAATTGACTTTCTCAGTAGTTTGTCATGAACAACTCGTGGCTGTTAGGATATATGACTGAAATGTTGTTAGTATTTTGTTTACTGAAGTAAGTGAAGTGCGAGAAAATTAATAACCCTAATTTATCTATTTTATTTTTATTTAATTATTTTGCAAAATATCACCAAGGACAAGTTTTTAAAACATTTTGCAGCCTTTAAAGAAAATCTTCTTGATCAGTCCTATTTTCTGTCGTTTAAGAAGGCGTTTCTCTTGCATACATTGGAATAATTAGAACAGTATTTTCTGAAATGGTGAAGTAAAGTATAAGCTAACATGAAGAGTTAGTTACACTATATAAGAAAAATTTGCTTGTACTGATATTTACCATAGATGTGAGCCGTACTGCCACAGATCACTTGTTTAGTACCTGTATATTTGGTTCATTGCAAATTCCTGATCACTCATAAGTTCAAAGTTGCTCTGGTTATCCAGGATTTCCCCTAAGAAAGTGATTGCTAACAAAAGTTGCATGTAACCAAATGATCATTGAAAAACATAACTCACAAAATTTATGACATTATAAATAAACAAAATGTTGACAAATCTGTGAGCAAAAACCAGCACATCTGTACAGTGCTACTGCCAATCAAGAAGTGATTAATGAGTATGGATGTGAAGAGGGTGCTGGTTACAATAGGAGTGGTGTTGCACTCCAATTGGTGGAGAGCTGTTGCATGATAATTTGCATGTGGAGATGCAGAAGTGGAAGGTAGAAGGCTAGTGGCGCGTGGTGAAAATTTGCCCCAGTAGAGGGCAGCACTAGTTAAGAAAAGCTATTTTGTGAGAGGTGGTATGTATCTATCGGGAAATGCAGTTATTAGGAGAACAGTTATGCTAGATATACTTCCTGTACTGCATGGCTAGGATGCAAAGAATGTATGAGTGTACATTAGAATAAATCATTAAGTTGCACGTAGATCCACAGCAATGTATTTTTACTAACCATTGATAGTGAAACCTGTGTTCATACTTTCCATTTCAACAATGTATCTGTAAAATCAATGGACTGTACAACCATAAACTTCTTTGTATTTGGTTTGCTTAAAAGTAGTCTTAGAAGCCACAGCATAAGTACCCGTCCCCAGTGACAGGAAAAGTTTGTTAATCTATCAATTTAAATTATTTCATGGGCTTTAAAAAGGTTAATTGTGCTCCAAAGCTGAGCTACTTATACTGCCCACTGTTGATCATTTCGGTCATGCTTAGAGCCATTCAACAATAACATACAGTAAATCTACATTTTTATTCTTTAAGTTACATCACATTTTGAAAAATATGATAATGTGATTAATTCCTAACAATTTATTGTAGAACATCCTTCTTGCAAAATATAATTTGGAATCAACATTATTCGCGCCTGTTCTGCCATCATTTCAAAATTGAATGTTGAGTTTTGTCTGTGAGCACAGCTTTTTAAATGGGAGATAGACAAATGCTCAGACCAGCACCACAGTTCACAATATAAAAAAAATGTCCAAGTACAGTGAAGGATTTTGTGTAAAGCTAAATGAAGAGCTATTTGTTCTAGCTGTCCCTAATTTTAAAGTGATAGACTACAAATGGTTGAATATGTTATATTAAAGCAGTTTTGAATATGCAAATCAGCAAGTAATGTGACAATCCCTGTAAAAAATCATGGTAGAGCGACATATTTCAGAACTACATTTTGGCATTCTTAGGTGTTTCAAAGGTAGTGTGATACAAGCAAAAATTTATTGCCTTTGGGAAGAATATGTAACAGCTCTTTCTGATGCAAAATATTCATACGCTCAATTCATAAAGATGAGTTTGGATCAGAGATCTTTTGTACTTAATGGAATTGATAAACATAGAAGTATGGATCAACAGGACACCATAACCATCCAGAAAGAGACCTGCAACAAGTTGTACCCCATCTGTGGTAAACAAAGTGAGACATATTGTATGAAGTGAGAACAGATGAAGACAAATGTCGGTGGCAACTGTACACAACATAAAGTAGGATCTCCATCTGAATACATGACACAAGTCTCTGGCTCACAAGTTGCTTCTATGACATCTCTGTTCAACCATCACAAACCTCAAGCAGCTGAAGAATGAAACAGATAAGCATGCTGTTCCATACAAAAACATCCTAGTGAAGTTGCCAGATGCAATGCGTATATAGATATCTGTGCAGTCAAACTGTTGAACTGGCTTGTGGGAAACAATTGTCCTCATACACTAGGCTTTCCACTATCCGTTAAAGGTTGAATGTTGTGTTTTGTACGTGGAAGTCTTATGATAAAACCTTGTGCACTACATTTTACACTGATCATCAGATAGCATGACCAGATATGCAATATGGATTCTAATTACACGGTGTGGTTCCAAAATCGTTTTAATATAATGTACTCAACCTCTGCAGAGACAAGGTAATTAGTCATCACCACCTCTATTATAAACACCCATGGCCCTAAAGTACAGATTATTGTTATTATTATTTTACTGATGATGGGATGTAAGTCACAAATTCTCAGGTTCACAGTCCATCATAACGACTGGGTCATGGTCAGCCCACAGCAAAGAATCTGTGGAAAGTTTGTCAAGGGGTGTGGTTTAAGATTGACCTTTCCAATCTTTACAGAAATTTGTTACAATGGTAATTATTGTGTTGGACAATATTACATAGCCATGGCCAGCAGATTGTGCATGATCAACAAGGGGGAAGTAGTTCTGAGGACAGCATCAGAACTTAACTATTGAGCCTTTCTGTAGAAATACTTTAAAGTGTGACACTGAAATTATTCTTTATCAACAAACTACATGTGAATGTAATGATATTTTTCTATAGAATTATATATAAAATTAAGAATATACAATACTGTATTTTGTTTTTTAGTCATGATTTCTTTACTTTCTTTCATCAGAGTAAGCATGAAGAAAAAGACAAAGAGAACAGGAAGTCTGCCCACCAGTTTGTTTCTATTTGTTACAGTATAGCGGCTGATTGTGATGTGTGTAACAAGCCTCTGGCCAATAAGCCAGCTCTTCGCTGTGAAAGTATCTATCTAAATCTTACCTTAATCTCCTATTGTTACATGATACACTTAAGATTTAAAGTGATAAAACCTTTGACTGTAGGATGATCGTTTATGAAACATGGAGTTATTTATAGAACAGGATTGTACAAAATGATTCGTTTAATTGTAATTTTCAGAATTGCAGGTAACTATTCAAAGTCCTAAAACAAGAAGATCCTTCGGGATAAATTGAAGAGAGAGATTTTAGTAGTTGTGTCTTCTTCTGACCTAAACTTAATTATACTGTTAGATTAACATTTTATCATTCATTCATTTCATGAATATTGTTTTAAAGAAGACTCGTTAGATTTGTCATTTTTAACTTTTTATTTTTTTTGTATTGAACTTGTGAAGACATTACTTTAACATAATGATGGTATGTATATGGCAAGATTATATTTGCTTGAATTAAGTTAGCTATGTTACAAAATTTTTAAAACCAATTGTACTAAAACATGGGGCAAAAATATCTGTTTGTTTGTATCTAAAACAATAGATAGCCAGAAATGCTAAACTACAAAACAGATTGAATTAGCATTGCAATAATACTTGATTGTTTGTATTATATAATCAGATACATTAACCATAAATAGTAAAGCTTCAGAGCATCCCAAGTTTAGAAACTCAATAATACATGTACCTGATTGTTTGTATCATGTATTCAGACACGTGGTAAAGCTTCAGAGCATCCTAAATTTAGTAACACGATAATACTTGTACCTGATTGTTTGTATCATGTATTCAGACACGTGGTAATGCTTCAGAGCATCCTAAATTTAGTAACACAATAATACTTGTACTTGATTGTTTTTATTATGTATTCAGACACGTGGTAAATCTTCAGAGTATCCTAAATTTAGTAACACGATAATACTTGTACCTGATTGTTTGTATCATGTATTCAGACACGTGGTAAAGCTTCAGAGCATCCTAAATTCAATCACACAATAATACTTGTACCTGATTGTTTGTACCATGTATTCAGACACGTGGTAAAGCTTCAGAGCATCCTAAATTTAGTAACACGATAATACTTGCACCTGATTGTTTTTATCATGTATTCAGACACATCAAATACATATGGTAAAGCTTTAGAGGATTCCAAATTTAGTAACACAATAATACATATGCCTGATTGTTTGTATCATAATGAAGCTGAATGTAACCTGGTACTGGTTAGTAAGCCCAATCTGCTGATTGGAATACCTAATGTTCAAACACTAATGTGGCACATTATCAACTCCGGAGGTATTATACGATTGTTCCATTATTTCGTTAAGAGAAGCTGCATAAGCTATGGATGCTAAGGGTAGCTATATCTAAACTTGAAGAGAGAGGTCTTTGACTTGTCTGTTTAGTTCGTCTTTTATTTAAGGTACCATTCAGGTTCAAAATATCAATACGTGTTACAACCTAAAGTGTAAAAACTTTAGAGATCTTGTTTTTAGCAATATGATTTGTTTATATGTAATCATGCACATGAGCTTTAGAATTCACATAAATAAAATAGAAAAAAAAACATTTCATTTACATTTCATCTGAATGAACAAAGTTCAGGCATACACATTTTTTTTTATGTCAGAATGATTTCTAGCTTACTGTATATATTTACTGAAGTAATTTAGAAATAATATTTCATAAATCTTTATCTGGTAGGAGTACAGATTAGGCTTTTTAAACATTTATATAAAACAAAAGTTATTTCTTTTTTGTTATTATTTTGTGTCATTTGTTATTTTGTAGAAATACCATCTGGATTTGAAAAGTATGGTTATTAAGATTTTTCTTTAAGAGCTATTACTAACACCACTAGATGGCAGCAAGGCATGAATATGTTGTGCTGCCATTAATTAATCTATGGTCCAATGAAAAGGCACAACATATGCAGAGTGCTGTTTCTTTTACAGTGGAAAACTCCTACATAATATACATATAACTTGTTCTTCCAATTAGTATTGAAATTTCAAAACTTTGGTGTGACATTTCATTGAAACTCATAAGATTGGTTGTTAAGCATTATTTTCAATTTCAGATTGTTTGGTAGCAGTTCACTCAAGCTCGTGTAAGGATCAAATTATTGACTGTACAAAATTCAAAAGTTCAAGGGTAAGTGGCATATTAAATAATAATGTTTTCAATTATCTAAGAATACTTAAGTATATTTGCTATCATGAGAAATATACTATGTTTTCCTGTGATTATCAGAAACAGAATGTAATACAGTTATGATATTCCTTTGTTTTAAAGTAGAAATTGAAACATAGCATGTCACCTTATTCTCAAAATATCACATATTCTGCTGTTTAGTGTGTTTATTCTGAATATTTAAGTAAGTAAAGTGTAGAATTTCTCAAATCTTTATCGTGTTTTGTATGCCTGTTCAAGGTTCAACTTGTAGCAAAACATAAGTGATCAAGAAACCTCAAGTTTACATGAGAATTCCAGAAAGAAAGAATAAAAAGTAATTAGTTTTCAAAGTAATTGTAATTAGAGCAAAGCTGGAAATAAGTTTATTTTTTGGGACTTACGGAAACCTTCGAATAATGGTTCTTTGTCCATAATAGCTGATGGTCTAGGTAGTGGAATCAATGCATGTACATTTAGTTTATCATATTGTTATTCAAGAAGTTGTTACTGTATCACAAAATACATCTAAACCTTCAACAAAGATCTATTTTGGGAAACTTGTGTAGAAGTTAAACTTGAAATCTGTTTCTTTACATTATTTTTAAAGGTAGTTTTTGTTGCTATCATACAGGTTAAACCTTTGAAATAACTTGAAATCTGTGTCTTTACATTATTTTTAAAGGTAGTTTTTGTTGCTATCGTACAGGTTAAACCTTTGAAATCTGTGTCTTTACATTATTTCTAAAGATAGTTTTTGTTGCTATCGTACAGGTTAAACCTTTGAATCCTCCCACTTCTAAGGAAAGGTCTTCAGTTCCTGTACTTCAGGTTCCAACAAGTATGTTGTAATTTTTGATATGTTCTAACTTTAAAAACCCTGTTGTTTTTGTCATTGTTTAATATTAATGTCTTATATATATGTTTGTTTTTTTTTGCTTAAAATTAATCTTTTACGATAGTCAACTGGTACGTAATTCGTTTTCACTAATCTGCGTGAGCCTAATTTAATATATAATTGTAAGATGTTTAGTTATAACATTTTATTAAAAAGTAACTAAAATCTGTTGGATATGAATGTTTTATGCATGTTGATTTTTAAGATAATATGTGATATATTATTCCTTAACTCCTTAATAAAAAAAAAAGCATGCTTTATTCTTATGCTATTATAACATTTTCGTCTTATTTTAACAAACCTTAATGTAAATAACACCAAGAAAACTGCCTTGCTTTGCTGTCGATGTGTGGTTTGTAACTGTCTTGTCCCACGTTATCGCAGGTCGTGTTCCTCATTATCCATACCGCTATCGTCATCTCGTCAGACCTGTATCTCAGAGTATGACTCATCTAGGTGTGTGATTAGTAAAAAGTTTTGCAACTTTTAGCTGATGTCAAAACTGTTTGTGAATGCCATTGTTTGAATCTGATCTTCAGCTTGAATAAATTAATACTAATTAGTTAAAATAGAAACAAGAGTATGGTGGAAATAACTATCAAGGTAACATTAATTAATTAACGGACTCTGATAGATCACTTTATTAACTTCTTCTAAAGTGCTATTGAGAATGATTTTTACAGTTTCTTTCAAAATAAGCTTGAAAAAGTTGCGTAAAAATTATACAAATTAAAAAAAAAGCTTATTTGTGTTTGCATTTTGTGTCTGACTTATGGTAAACTCTAGCAACAGATTTCTTTTGTGTAGTTTTTTAAAGTAAAAGTGTTTTGTGTCTATAATTTTGTGGTGTATGTAGCTTTGATGTATGTGTATTTCTTATTGAACACCTTACAAGTTTCATATATAAACTATAAATATGTTCATAATAAAATAGTAAGTCATCTATAACTACTTTGTCAGTCCATGGGATTTCACATAAACAAACAAACAATGTACAGAATATTCTTATGTTAGTTGTGAGTGGTAATTTTTTGTTATACTTGCATTTTAATAGTTTGCGACAGTTTAGGAATGCAGCTAGCTCGTTCCTGGTATCAAAAAGGTTAAGAAATGCTGATCTATAGTAACTGTACTTTTTGATTTTATATTGCATAGTTTTCAAAGAATTAATATATATTTCATTATAAAAACATTATGGTTTTCTGTTTTTTTACTTCAGTCACCAGTAAATCTCGGAACAACACACAGCCTGTAAAAGACAAAAAATTTACTGACCAAACACTAGTTGCAAAGTCACAGGTAAATAATGTTATGTACAATGTAGCTTACTTATTTTATATTTTGGTCAGAGTGAAGTTTTGATGTTCAGTCTGGTTAAGTACAATTATGGAGCTTTATAAGCTTTAGAGAAATGAATGAAATTGTTGAATTTCAAATATATTTTTGTCACTAAATTCAGTGTTTCTAAACAGATAATAAGCGTTTAATCAGTTGTAATACTACAGGACAATTATATGCTCTCTGGTGTGAAAGTTCTCGTGTAACTCTGTTGTCTGCTGGTCTAAAATAATTTTCTGAAAACTAAACTAAACAAATTTGGTTTTCTTTTGAAGATAGTTTTTTTTTGTGTTTGTCACTTTTGATGCACTTCTAACTTTAAAATTACATGTTTTTCAATACAGGAACTCGTTTTAAAAACTTGTTGAATGTTGATTAAGTGAAAAGTTCTGCATTAAAATTATGATGAAAATTAGTTGCTGTTTTTTTAACTGGCTATTATGAATATCAGATCAGAGTTGTGTAAAAATAATGTTTCAGGCTATTTATATTTGCAACAAGTCAGTGCCAGAACATTTTTATACACCTTTGATATGAAATCTGCAATAAACTAGTAACACAAAACATAGATTTCATATTGGAACTGTGTTATAAAATATTTTGGGCAGTAACTTGAAACGAACAAGATTGTGTAAATTTTAGAAATGATGAATTTTATATATTGCTTCACAAACTTTGACATGATACACCACTGTATTGAGTTTCTTGTATGACATACAAATAACATCATAGATAGGACTTTGGCTGCTATGCCCTCAGTTCATCTGGTGAGTTCTTACATTGATCCAAAAGTCTTTGCAATGAATTACAGTAAATAAATTTATTTTTCATATTCCTGATATCCATTAAACAACAAACATGTTTTTGTAATAAAAACCATGTAAAAATGACAAAATATTTTCAAGAGATTCTCTGAATTTGTAGCATTTACTATACAAATAATAATTCTTTACAGAAAAGCGCCTAAGCTATCTTTGCTTCCTTGTATAGATTATGTAAGAAATAGTAAGGTGTAATTGTACTATGTAATTTAATTTCTATTTATTTAAACTACTTAGAATTTCTGAAAACTCCACCCTGCCACTTATGTCTAACCTAGAAAGAAACAAAAGTCTACATCAAGTAACCATTCCACTCCAGAGAAAAATTGTTGTTTAAGAATGAATATCTCATAGAAATGATACTTCATTGGCTTATTTTGTATCAATTTCTTAACATATACGTACTGGGGAACTTTTAAATTGTGATGTTTATAGTAGCTTTTCAAATTGAAATTAATCTTTCATTGGAAATTGACTTGCAACAATTTATACAATTTTGTTCTTTCCTGAAATGAAGCTCCAAGGTGCATCTACAGTCGACGCACCAGTCAAGACAAATTCTTCATTGCCGTCATCAGGGTAAGATCACTTTTTTTTTAAATACATGTTTTATAATAAATGAAATTTGTATGAAAATGCTGTTAAAGGTTAATGTAAATGTGAAATAAGATTTCTTGGCACATATTTATACAGTATTAATTACGGTTTTGTTATCTGAAATCTTTTTGGTTGTGTGTACCACTGTACAATACACATACAGCATTCAAAATGGAAAGAAAAAACTGTTATCATTAATAATAAAAGTGTCAATCCAAATTGAACTAGCCACAATATTTTCTGATTTCTTAATTTTTCTCATTTTCTTGATCATTCTGGAATCCATCAGTAATTACAATGATTTTCTTTATATAATAGTAATACATAAGGGCAGGGCCTCGATTGTTCCTTTGTTGTTTCTTTTCTTGAGATTTTTTATTTTTTAACTATTTCTTTTCCCTTAGTATTATTTTATTTCTATACCACAATATTGATCTGAGGTGGTAGAAAAATACATGTTTCTTAGGATGCCAGTTGCTTAGGGACTTAGCCAGATTTTGAGAAAAAAAACGAGTATAGATACTGTAGACTCCAGGTTTATATGAAAATCAGCAATGTTTTGTGTTTGTTGAGAACCAGCTAGTTGACACTTAGTTCTGATGAGAATGTTGCTTTTGACAGTATGCCTAACAGGGCTTACACTCCCAGAGGCTCGACGCAGTGGCGTAGGGTTGCCACTAAGCTGGGAGTCAAGTAAGTTAGTTGCTATGTACTGATTTTAAAACTGCTTAATATTTTCAAACCCATAAGGGTTCTCCTAACTTTCCTAGCCCATCTTGCATGCCTTCTGCACAAAGATGGGTTTGTATCATGCATGCATTCTGTATGTTTCGAGAGTTTCTCCAAGTCCATCTTCTTCAGCAAGGTGATATAGAATTGTTTTCTGTGACAATATTCCATTAAACTTATTTTATTTTTGATAGGTCTTTTTATTTTCTTAATGATCATCTTTCTCTACTGCATGACTAGTTCTGTAATAAAGTAGGAATACGAAGATATGATTGGTCCTTACAATAAAGATGATGATCTGACATATCTTGAAATATATTGTTTAGTATGGTAATTTTTGTGAAATGCTTCTAATATTTATTGAAGTATATAATATAGTCTGTATGAAGTTTTCATGTTTTTTTTTTTATAAATAGTGATGTAAAACTGAATATATTCTGTCATTCTCAGGTTGCTGAAGATAGTTCTAGGATTGTTTTATGCATGTTAATGTAGCAAACTATATTCAAATTTCTCTCTTTCTTTCTCAAGCATGTACTATCATGTGTTGCTTGACATTTTTGTTTTATTATAATTTATATCAGTATGATTTAATGCTAAAAAAATATTATTTCTATCATTAATAAAAAAAATATCAATTAAGTATTACATTTTTACAATTGTAATTGTTTTTTTAATCATGGGCAGCATATTTAACAATGTTAATTACATTATGTTAACGTACAAAGAATTATGTTTCTCGTAATTTGGTGTAAACTTTTAAAGTCTTAATTTCCAATAATTTGTTTTTACAGTATCTGCCACTAGTTTAACAACTACAGCTTATAAATTTGTTTTGACATTTAGACAGTATAAAAGTTTTGTATATATATTTTTTTGAATATCAATTTAATTGATCGCTTGAAAATATGAGTGAAATTAATATGAAGCAAATACTACATCGTAGACCCTTTAGTACAGTTTAGTAGCATTTCTTGCTTTTGTTCATGAAAGGTTAAAGCATAATAATTTGGCATTTAAATGCTGGGGTTAACTTTGCAAGTTTGAATTTGATAATTTCCTCTATAAAATAATTTAACTTAAACAGTTTTAGGTACTTTTGTTTATGTTAAACAACTGACGGTTAGGCATAAGATATTAAAACAATAAAAAGAAAAGAAGCTCCAAACATAATTTGTCAGTTAAACAATTCTCAACTACATTGACAAACTTGCCTAAACTATTACCTGGTTGCTTTGTAATTTAATGTTATGTAATGGTATTCCTATTTTCAAATGCTTAAATAAGATTGGATTATATACCTGACTGATCATGTCATTCTAAAAAATCATAGTTGTTTAACCTAGATATCCAGTTAAATAAACTTGATCTCTAAACATTTTCTCATCTTGACATAGATGCAGATTAAGAACAGAAGTCATGTGGGATTATTAATATCACATGTGTGCTAAAACTTAAATCTTCAGTATATTTTTAACACCTTTTAATGGTTATTTTTATAAAAAATGTAAGCTTTTTTTTTTTCTTTTAGCAAAGTAATTAATGAAGAAAAAGAAGCAGATCCAATCGATGACACCAGTTCAAAGTAGGTATTAAATCAGAGCAAGATTAGATATAAAAATTATGCTTAACTCCTCATTATCTAATCCAGTAAATATTTGATAATCATTAATGAAAAGAAAATTAAATCCAGCTGATGACACAATTCAAAGTAGGTATTAAATCAGAGCAAGATTAGATATAAAAAAAATCGTAATTAACTCCTGATTATCTTAGTCCAGCAAATCCTTGTTAAGTGATGTACAAGCTAGAGGATTTAAAATTTTGTGCCCCATTTTCCTAAAGAAAATTTGTGTAAGACAGGAAGAAGAGTACCATGGTAATAATTCACATTCGTTTTGTTTTTACCTTTCACTCTTAATCCACAATGTATAATTACATAGAAGATCGTCACAAGTGCTAGAGAATCAGATTGAAAAGTATTTTTAAAGGATATTGTAGGTTTGTAGTTTAGTCTAAATTAAATTGGTTGTCCAACTACCTTATTTGATGTACTTGAATGTATATGGACCAAAACCAGATCATACTTTTACCTGCTCTTAAACACTAAAACTGGATCATACTTATACCTGCTCTTAAACACTAAAACTGGATCATACTTGTACCTGCTCTTAAACACTAAAACTGGATCATACTTGTACCTGCTCTTAAACACTAAAACTGGATCATACTTGTACCTGCTCTTAAACACTAAAACTGGATCATACTTCTACCTGCTCTTAAACACTAAAACTGGATCATACTTATACCTGCTCTTAAACACTAAAACTGGATCATACTTATACCTGCTCTTAAACACTAAAACTGGATCATACTTATACCTGCTCTTAAACACTAAAACTGGATCATACTTATACCTGCTCTTAAACACTAAACCCTGGATCATACTTATACCTGCTCTTAACTCTTTCAACCTGGGCTCGGTCCTTGGGACCAACCTCGTAACCATTTTGTTCTTGTTGTAGTTTTCATGCTATAACTTTTAAATTAGTAAGTGTATGTTAAGGAATTTTGGCAGTATATCAGTGAACATTACAATGTTTTCATATGCAAAATATCTAATTTTTTTATCAAGTTTTGATGTTTGTAAAGCAATATTTTTCCCATGCCTTTCTTTTCTTTTCACATCTTGCCTATCTATCATATAAAGTAATTTTCAGTTTAAAATTAAATGCTTTTATGCATCAGAAAAGTTTGAAATTTCACATGCGAAATCTTTATGATGTCCAAATAGTTATCAAACGTTTCTTAAGAAAAAACTATTTTATCTGTTATTTTCAGTATTTAATCTCTGTACGGGTTTGGTAAATTTGACCAATCTCGCAACCACCATAAAAAAAATTACGAAATTAACATAAATTATAACACAAAAACATAAATGTTTAGACGAAATAGCTTAAATCTCACAACGTTATACATTTATATATATATATATAATTTTATTATATTAACCTTTCACCCATGCTTGACTAACATTACAGAAGTTACAATGACGCGGCTCACGTGCACTCATGTTATCGTATCAAATAACATAAAGGTGACCTTTGGTCTTTACAAAGTAACTTTTCTTGGCTGTGTTTTAGTCAACTAGTGTTTTGTAAAATACAGTCACATTTCACTTATTATACATTATATATGTATATAGATTATTGGTATTTTGAAATAAGTTCTTAGTTATTTTTCCTAAAACATAGAATAGTAAATTAAGAAGTAAAGCAAACTATTATCTCTTCTAGTTACGACCTTTGTACTCAGTTGCTGCTTGACGTAGGTTGCTAAGCCTTTAAAAATTTTGCACGTGGAGAACATGAAACAAAATATTTTTTTTTAGGTTTTATATATACTTTTGAATAACTAAAAAACCATCAATTACTACATCAATACCATAGAATTCTACTATAATTTATCAAACATAGTAACTAAGCTGTATTTGGGTCATACTTATACCTGCTCTTAAACTTTATGTATTTGTTTATTCCTTATAATTGATAATTTATTATCTTTTCATAGTATTGTGGACATTAATTCAGCTTCTTTGGAGTCTCTTGAAGATGCGTGTCAAGAAATCAGTGATTTAGAAGATGATCCTGTCCTTCAGTTAGCGGTTGAGGAATCTGCAGTGTGGAGTACCACAGTAGACAAGAAGGTGAGAGAATTTAGTCAATTTTCTATGGTTTCTAAAAGTATGAAGTATTTGTTTTTTAAAAAATGCACATTTTTGTAAAGCTCCATCTAGTGAGACTTATTGTAAGTCATTCTTTCAATTTATGATTTTAGATTTTGAAGAAGCTAAAAGACAGAGAAGTAAAAAGACAAGAGTCAATTTATGGTAAGTGTAGTCTAAGCAACTTAACCCATTATTTCTGTATTGATATGTTTTGATACAATGTTTATATAAATCAATGAAAACCTTTATTTTCTGAAAATGACTATGTATTGATATAGTTACCTGCTATTGCTGTTTGTTTATACTTAAGTTCAATAAATCCTTATCGTTCACTTCCTTCTTGTTACGTAATTTTTGTTTTGTATTTTAGGGTTAATGTAGTATTTCTAAATTTTTGATTGTATTGTGGAATTCTTAAATACAATTGTGAAAATTTCAGCCATGTATTATTTTCTATTAAATTGAGTAACAAAATTCTTAAACTATGATGGTAGGAAAAACAAGTAGGTTAAAAAAAAAAGTTAACACAAAAATACAAAATCCTATAATCCTAATACTTTCAAAAGATGAACCTTTATTCACCACTTGCCCCTGATGAAGAAAGATCCACTTTTTGAAAGTGCTTGAGTTATAGGATTTCCTATTTTTGTATAAAATTCTTAAGTTTACAGTTGAATAATGAGAAATACTCCGGGAAATTTTGATATTCCAAAACTGCTACAGTATTGACATAATTTTTTTATAACATTCTTTTATTATAGGTTTTCAGAATCTAAAGGTAAACCTCAAAACTAAAATCTCTGTGAATTTTATTATGTAGCTAGAGTATGATAGCATGCATATTAAATATTAACAAATACAAAAGTCAACTGCAAATTTAAAAGTATTGTAAGTGATTTAGGTGTACATTTGTTTTTTACAGAGTTTATTCTAACAGAAAAACATCATTGTTTAACTCTGAAGATAATGCAGAAGGTAAGAAACTACAAAGTTATTAGATTGAAAATATCAAGAATATGTCTGTTAACAACATGTGTCAGATAAATAAACCTAACATACTGGAATTATTTTTGTATGCATTTTTTTTAACCTAGCAAATCATATATTTTATTGCAATGGTTTGGTTTTTTAAACTTTATTAATAATATCTTAGACATTGGCACTTAATACTAAGTTAAACACATCACATTATAAGTATTCAGTGTTTATCTCCTAACACTTCAATACTTTTTATCATTTCATAATGACTAATTAACCACAGTGAATGTATAATCATATATTAAATAATGGGCTATTTGTTTAGTTCTTTGTCTAAATTAAATTCAAGTGTCTTCAAGAACTGAGCACTATTATATGGTTTCAACAGCTTTTGTACAGCATAATTGTGTAATAAAATATTCTTGTTTAAACATGAAAATTTCATCATGCAAAACAGGTGTTTGCTCAGGGAATGATTAAAGAGGTAGGACTGACTAAGGACCTAGTTGATCGTATTTTTCCCTGCTTGGAAGACTTGCTAGAGATTCATTCAAGCTTTTTAAGAAAACTTCGGGAAAGGCAGCATCAGGACAGAACAGTTGAAAAGATTGGAGACATTCTTTATGAGCAGGTATCAGAATTTTAATAGGTTGCACATATATTGAAAATATTGTAAGAAATATATTAAAAAACCAATAACTTGCACAGAATAATTTAATTCATTGTTGCCATCATTCATCCTTTTTACTAACATCAAAACTGTCCAACTGAGAAAGAAAATAAAAAGTATTTGAGGTAATTTTTTCATAGCATGGTACTTTGTGTGATTAATAATTTGAAAACTGATTAATACACCCACAAATTGCCATAATACATCAACAAAAAAAAGTTTCTTAAATTAGATTAAGTTTTTTTTCACAGGTTTGTATTAGAAAAAAATTTGCGGGGAAATATTAATCCATTCTTTTTTTTTTAATGCTGTCAACCTAAAACTTGTCATCCA